GGAAAGGAAGGAAAGTAAGCCAGGTAAGCATTACAGGCCTGCTTTATCACACCAAAGGAGTTCTGGTGGCATAGTGGAAGGCATTTGGCTCCTAACCAGAAGTGGTTCAAACCCACTATGGGAGGAAGATGAGGCAATCTACTTCTGTAAAAATTTACAGTTTTAGAAACCCAGTGGGTGTCTCCATGAGTTAGAATCCACTCAATGGTAGTGAGTTTGGTTATTTGGTTTTATCACAACAACCTGATTTCCCCAGAGGGGTATATGGTACCTGGAAGTACTGCAATACCATGTCAATGTGTGGAGTGGATGGAGCAAGCTCTTATTCCAAGCTCCTTGCTCCAAGAACCCGTTTAATATATTATCCTCAAATAGAGGATGTATCCAATACATTGGGGGAGTCAGGCCCCACCCAAGAAGCAGAAAAGGGAGAGAATGCCAGGAGATGACAAAAGCAGCAGGATCCAGGTAAGGGGAGGGCAGAGAAGTTTCCAACAGCTAAGGGAGATGACTTGTCTGTCAGTTTGTCATACAGTGGTGGCTCACATGTTGCTGTGAGGATGGAGGCCGTGCCGTAAGTGTTTCAAACACCAGCAGGGTCTCATATGGTGCACAGGTTTCAACGCAGCTTCCAGACTGAGACAGACTAGGAAGAAGGAAGAGGCCATCCACTTCTCAAAGAATTGGCCAGGGAAAACCTTATGAATAGCAAAGAAACACTGTCTGATACATTAGTGGACAACTTTATGATTAGCCCAGAAACACTGTCTCACACAGTGCTGGAAGATGAGGCCTTTAGGTCGGAAGGCACTCAAAACACGACTAGGAAAGAGCTGCCTCATCAGAGTAGAACCAGCCTTAATGATATGGATAAAGTAAAGCTTTCGGGACCTCCATTTGCTGACATGGCATGACTCAAATTGAGGAGAAACAGCTGCAAATATCCATTAATAATTGGAACATGGAATGTACAAAGTATGAATCTAAGAAAATTGGAAGTTGTCAAAAGTGAAATGGAATGCATAAAGATTGATATCATAGGTATTAGTGAGCTGAAATGGACTGTTTTTGGCCATTTTGAATCAGAAAACCATGTGATCTACTATGCCGGGAATAACAAATTGAAGAGAAATGCCGTGGCATTTGTTATCACAAAGGATGTTTCAAGATCTGTCCTGAAGTACAATGATGTCAATGATAGGGTAATATCCATATGTCTACAAGGAAGAACAGTTAATACTACTATTATTCAAATTTATGCACCAACCACTAAAGCCAAAGATGAAGAAATTGAAGATTTTTATCAACTTCTGGAGCCTGAAATTAACCGAACATGCAATCAAGTTGTAGTGTTTGGAATCCAAAAGTTGGAAACAAAGAAGAATTACTGGTAGTTGGAAAATTTGGCCTTGGTGACAGAAATAACGTTGGAGATCTCATGATAGAATTTTGCAAGACCAGCGACTTATTCATTGCAAATACTTTTTTCAACAACACAAATGGCAGCTCTACACGTGGACTTCACCAGATGGACTACACAGGAATAAGATTGACTACATTTGTGGCAAAAGGTGATGGAAAAGCTCAATACCTTCAGCCAAAACCAGGCCAGGAGCTGATTGTGGAACAGAACATCAACTACTCATATGCAAGTTCAACTTGAAGTTGAAGACAATTAAAACAAGTCCATGGAGCCAAAATATATCCCTCCTGAATTTAGAGACCATCTAAAGAATAGATTTGATGCACTGAACACCAATGATAGAAAACCAGAGAAATTGTGGGATGACATCAAAAACATCATCTATGAAGAAATCAAGAGGTCATTAAAAATATGAGAAAGAAAGAAAAGACCAAAATGGATGTCAAAAGAGACTCTGAAACTTGCCCTTGAGCAAAGAGTAGCTAAAGCAAATGGAAGAAATGACAAGATAAAAGAGCTGAACAGATTTCAAAAAGCAGCTTGAGCAGACAAAGCCAATTATAATGAAATGTGCAAAGACTTGGAGTTAGAAAACCAAAAGGGAAGAACACACTTGGCATTTCTCAAGCTGAAAGAACTGAGAAAAAAATTTAAGCCTCGAGTTGCAATATTGAAAGATTCTGTGGGCAAAATATTGAATGAAGCAGGAAGCATCAAAAGAGGATAGAAGGAATACACAGAGTCACTGGAGCAAAAAGAACTGATTAATGTTCATCCACTTCAGGAGGTGGCATATGATCAAGAACCAATGGTATTGAAGGAAGAAGTCAAAGCTACATTGACGGAATTGGCAAAGAAAGGCTTCAGGAATTGATGGAATACCCACTGAGATGTTTCAACAAATAGATGCCCCACTGGAGGCACTCACTTGGCTATGCCAAGGGGTTTGGAAAACAGGTACCTGGCCAACTGACTGGAAGAGATCCATATTTGTACTCATTCCAAAGAAAGGTGATCCACAGAATGTGGAAATCATTCAACAATATCATTAATATCGCATCCAAGTAAAACCTTACTGAAGAGGTAATTCAAAAACAATTGCAGCAGTATATTGATAGAGAACTTCCATAAATGCAAGCTGGAAGTTCAGAAATGCAAGCTGGATGTGGAACAAGTCATTGCTGATGTCAGATGGATCTTGGCTGAAAGCAAAGAATACCAGAAAGATGTTTACCTGTGTTTTATTGACTATGCAAAAGCATTTGATTGTGTGGATCCTAACAAATTGTGGATAAAATTGAGAAGAATGGGAATTCCAGAACACTTAAGTGTACTCATGAGGAACCTATACATAGAACCGGGGCTGTTGTTCAAACAGAACAAGGGGACACTATTGTTGTTGTTAGGTGCCATTGAGTTGTCTCCACTCACAGCGACCCTATGCACAGCAAAACAAAACACTACTCGGTCCTGAGCCAGCTCCATGATTCTTGCTACAGTTGAGCCCATCGCTGCTGCCACCATTGTCAATCCATCTCCTTGAGGGCCTTCCTCTTTTTTGTCAACCCTCCACCTTACCAAGCATGACATCCTTTTCCAGGGAATGGTCCCTTCTGACAACAGGACCAAAGTAGGTGAGACGAAGTCTGGCCATTCTTGCCTCCTAGGAGCATTCTGGCTGCACCTCCTCCAGGACAGACCTGTTAGTTCTTTTAGCAGTCCATGGTACTTTCAGCATTCTTCACCAACACCTCAGCTCAAAAGCATCAGTTCTTCGGTCTTCCTTATTCATTGTCCAGCTCTCACATGCATATGAGGTGATTGAAAATACCACGGCTTGTGTCAGGTGCACCTTAGTCCTCAAGGAGACATCTTTGTTCTTCAGCACTTGAAAGAGGTCTTTTGGAGCCGATTTTCCCAGTGCTATACTTCGTCTGCTCTGGTAGCATAGTGCCTAAGGCACTTGACTGCTAACCAGAAGTCTGGCGGTTCAAACTCACAGCCGCTCCTTGGAAGGAAGATGGGGCAATTTACTTCCGTAGTGATACTGCCTCAGAAACCCATGGAGGGGTCACTATGAGCCTAGTCCGACTCCATGGCACATAACAACAACAACAACATACGCTGTCTGATGTCTTAACTGCTGCTTCCATTGGCATCAACTGTAGAACCAAGCAATGTGAAATCTTTGACAATTTCAATCTTTTCTCCATTTCTCCTTTTTTTTTTTTCTTTTTAATATAGAAAAAAGGACATTGCATGATTTAAAATCAAGAAGGGAGTGTGTCAGGGTTGTATCTGCTCACTATACTTTTTCAGTCTGTATGCTGAGCAAATAATCTGAGAAGATGGTCTATATGAAGAAGAACTTGGCATGAAGATTGGAGGAAGAATCATTAACAACCTGCAATACGCTGATGACACAACTTTGCTTGCTGAAAGCGAGTATGACTTAGAGCACTTACTGATGAAGATTAAAGAATACAGTCTGCAGTATGGATTACATGTCAATATAAAGAAATCAAAAATCCTCACAACTGGACCTATAAGCACCATGAAGATAAATGGAGAAAAGATTGAAGTTGTCAAAGACTTCACATTGCTTGGTTCTACAATTGACGCCAATGGAAGTAGCAGTCAGGACATCATATGACATATAGTACTGGGGAAACCGGCTGCAAAGGACCTCTTTCAAGTCCTGAAGAGCAAAGATGTCTCCTTGAGGACTACTTTGTGCCTGACACAAGCCGTGGTATTTTCAAGCACCTCATATGCATGTGAGAGCTGGACAATGAATAAGGAAGACCGAAGAAGAGTGGATGCTTTTGAGTTGTGGTGCTGTCAAAGAATGCTGAAAGTACTGTGTACTTCTAAAAGAACTAACATCTGTCCTGGAGGAAGTGCAGCTGGAATGCTCCTTGGAGGCGAGAGGGACCATTCCCTGGAGAAAGATGTCATACTTGGTAAGGTGGAGGGTTGACAAGAGAGGGGAAGGCCCTCAATGAGATGGATTGACATAGTGGCTGTGACGATGGGCTCAAGTGTAGCAAAGATTGGGGAGCTGGCACGGTACTGGGCCGTGTTTCGTTCTGCTGTGCATAGGGTCGCTATGAGTTGGAGACAACTCCACACACAATATTAAACTGATAAGAACAGAAACTACACTTGGTCTGATAAGAATGCAAATTTTCAAGTCCCAGCACAGATCTGCTGAATCAGGAACTCTTAAACGGGGCCCAGCCACTTGTGTCTTAACAAGCCCTCCGAGTGATTCTGAGGCAGGACACAATTTGAGAACCACTACCATAGAAAAATTTTCCTGATCATGTTACAAGAAATGTGAAATTCTGTCTGGGATTCTAGAATGTAAGCTTTGTTTTGTTCACTGCTTAGCACATAGTAAGCCTGAGTATAATAGATAAATAATTTGTTGAATGAATTAAAAAAACATGAGTGAATCCTTCAGCTGATAGATTTGGGGCATGCAATGGAAATATAAAATGTTATCAAGGTAAACTTTTGGCAATGGCTTAAGAAATCTTCCATTTGACTAATGGGGGAAAGAAAATTATACTACCTCAAGCAGAAACCTGTCTCTTTGATCATTAATAAATTCATGGACAGTCTTGTTTGCGTCTGCACCTTTAAAGAAAATTGAAATAGACTTAAGGTTAGTTCATTATCCTTCAAAGATGTTAAAAAAAAAAAAAGCTAAATAATTACATCATTGCATACAGTATGTATTTGAGCTTTTTAAAAAACACTATACCTTCAAATCAACATATTTTCTAACCGCTCAAAAACTAATTTAATAATAGTAACTAACACATATTTCGTGTCCATTCATATTCCAGGAACTTTATTCAACACTGTAAGTACATAATTTCATTTAATCTGAACAACTCACAAAAAAATTTAAAAAATTCACTGCCATTGAGACAGATCCGACTCATAGTGACCCCTCCTTGGGTTTCCGAGGCGGTATCTCTATGGAAATAGATAGCCCAATCTTCCTTCTGAAGAGTGGCTGGTATGTTTGAACTGCCAGCCTTCTGGTTAGCAGTCAAATGACTTAGGCACCACATCACCAGAGCTCCTGAACAACTCAGATAAGTCATTTTTTTCTTTCCTAATAATAAAATCTGATTTGTGATTCCTAAGATCATTTTTATTAAGGACCTCAGTTTTATGTCTAGATCAGCCAAATATTACAATTTAAAACATTTAAGACTTATTTCGTGAAGTACAGGCTTTGGAGTTGTACAGACCTGAATGGTATTCCTTTTTTGTCACTTATGAGCTGCATGATCTTGGACAAGCATCTTGACATCTCTGAGCTTGAGGACTTATATTGTTCATATAAGGTACATATTAATATCCTCATCCTAATATAAAATAATAATAATAAAATCTTCAAACTAAATAAGTCTTAAGCTAACTAAATAATAATAATAAATAAACTAAATAAGTCTTAAATGTTTTAAATTGTGATGTTTGGCTGATGTAGACATAAAACTGAGGTCCTTAGTAAAAATGACTTTGTTGTTGTTGTTGTTCTGTACCATTGAGTTGGACCCGACTCATAGTGACCCCTCCTTGGGTTTCTGAGACAGTATCACTATGGAAGTAGATTGCCCCATCTTCCTTCCAAGGAGTGGCTGGTGGGTTTGAACCCCCAGCCTTCTGGTTGGCAGTCAAGTGCTTTAGGCACTATGCTACCAGAGCTCCCAAAAAAAATGACTTTAGGAATCACAAACCAAATTTTATTATCAGGAAAGGAAAAAATGACAGCTAGTTCTACCACATCACGATAGTAAATACCGAAAGTTTCATTTCAAGCTTTCTTTATGTTGGAACATTATACATATGCTATGTTTCAGTAATGATTATTTCATTAAAACTAATGGAATGTGGTATAAAATAAAGTACTTATTAAAAATATAAAAAGAAGTAAAAATAAAATAACATAGGCGTACCTCAGAGATATTGTGGATTAGGTTCCGTATCACCCCAAAAAAGCAAATATCTCAATAAAGCAGGTCACATTAATTTTATTTCCCAGTGCATATAAAAGTCATGTTTACGCTATACTACAGTCACTTAAGTGTGCAATATAATATTTTGAGAATTACTAATGTGATACAGACAGACACATGAAGTGAGCACATGCTTTTGGGAGAATGGTACTAATAGACTTGCTTGATGCAGGGTTGCCACGAACCTTCAATTTGTTTTTTAAAAAAAACAAAAAACCAGAGTATCTGTGAAGTGCAATAAAATGAGGTATTCTTGTATTACCCAAACGATTAATGAATTCATCTTGAACTAGAGAACATGTTGTTGTTGTCAGGTATTGTCAAGCCGATTTCAACTCATAGCAATTGAATGTGACTGAGTACAACTGCCACATAGGGTTTTCTGGACTGTAACCTTTATGGGAGCATATTGCCAGGCCTTTCTACCTGGGAGCACCAATCTTTGGGTTAGCATCCCAGTACTTAGCCATTGTACTACCAGGGCTCCTTGTACTAGGATGTATAAGGTGTAGTAATTATGGATCGTGGTACAGAGTAAAGTCTCATAATCAAAAGGGAAACAGAAGTTGTTAGTTGCCATCAAGTCAGTTCTGATCCATAGTGACCCTATCTGTGGACAACAGAATGAAACACAGCCCAGTCCTGTGCCATCCTCACCATTGTTGCCATGCTTGAGCCCATCGTTGCAGTCACTGTGTCAATCCATCACATTGAGAGTCTTCCCTTTGTTTGCTGACCCTCTACTTTACCCAAGATGGTATCTTTCTCCAGGGACTAATCCCTTCTGACAACATGATCAAAGTACGAGAGACAAGCCTGGCCACTCTTCCTTCTAAGAAGCATTCTGCATGTACTTACTGCAAGAAAAATTTAGTCATTCTTCTAGCAGTCCATAAGCTTTCAGCCCAATATCCATAACGTTTTCAGCCTCGTATCGCCTCATATGTGTGTGAAAGCTGGACAATGAATAAAGAAGACCAAAGAAGAGTTGATGCCTTTGAATTATGGTGTTAGTGAAGAATACTGAAAATACCATGGACTGCCAGAAGAACAAACAAATCTGTCCTGGGAGAAATACAGCCAGAAGAATGCTCCTTACCCACGAGAATGTCCAGACTTAGTCTCACCTACTTTGGTCATGTTGTCAAAAGGGGCCAGTCCCTGGAGAAGGATAACATGTTTGGTAAACTGGAGAGTCAGAGAAGAAGGGGAGACCCTCAATGAGATAGATTGACACTGGGCAGTGTTCCATTCTGTCATACATAGGGTCGCCAAGAGTCAGAATCAACTCAACGGCACTTAACAATAACAACAACCAGTGAGTTTATGTGTATTAGGAGGCCACAGTCTTCTGGGGGTCATATCCTGCCTCCACCCCTTACTAGCTGTGGGAATGAGTAAATTATTTACCCTCTCCAAGCCTCAGTTTCCTCATCTGTTAAATGAGGATACTAATTGTGATAGATTATAGTATTGTTTCCAGATATTTGGTGCCCCTCTCTGTAAGAGGATTAGCTTCACTGATCTCAGGCATGACTGACTTGATTTAGCCAATGGAATGGGAGTAGATATAATGTATATTGTTCCCAAGCAGACACTTTAAGGACAACTACATGGTTCTCTCTTTTCTCTCTGCCACAACTCCAGCCATGTCCCAGACAGAGACTGTTCTTTCAGTCAAGGACTCAGAAAATCACCAAAGTTGGAAAGTGAACAAGAAAACTTCTGTTGTAAGTCACTGGAATTTAGGAGTGCTTTCTTGCCACAACATAAGTTAGTCTAAGCAGATACATTACCCTAGAATTTGTGGTCTATTTATTGGTATCACGTTGCAGCCTATCATTTGCCACCTTCTTATATAATTACAGTGCAGAATACGCAACTACAACAGCTTCTAAATAGGTTAACATGGCTTCCTTTTGCTACATTAATTATTGAATCCAAAGTCTTCTCCTAAGTGGTTTTCTTATTCTCTGAAGACTTTTTTTTTTTCCCCCAAAAATTAGGAAAGTGTATTAACTTTGGGAGCCAAAGGAATATCTTTTTAAGTTGCCACAGCAAATCCATGACACTTCATATATTTCTTCCTTTCTCCTTCCCTCCTTCCTTCCTTCCTTTCTCTCTCTCTTTTTTTTGGGGGAAGAATTTATGACTTTATTATCCTAACATTTATCACTTACCTCATTAGAGGTAAACTACTTTCTGTCTCAGTTATAGGCACTTCCTGATCCCATAACATTTTGATTACCAGTTTGCCTTCTTTCATAGAGCAACCAAATACAGTCTTATAGTATTTTAACACGTGTTTCTAAAGGTCTTTAAAATCAAGTTGTATTTTTGCCACCACAGGCAAACTTAGGAACTCGCTAAGTTTGTCTGATTTTTAATTCTATTAGCTTCCTGATTCTGGGTATATGAGTTTTACGGCCTGGGCAACCAAGGCTTCTCTGTTTTTAGAAAATGTCGAGATTCATACATCCAGACTGTATATGAGTGACCAGGCCTTTATAAATTATTCACTTTTGCCAACTTTAATACCATATCATTTTTCAGTGCCTTTCTTCCTGAGAGCCATGAAATGAGTCTATTTCTTGGAAAAGCAAGTTTCCTTGTTTAAAATAGATTCTCTCCTGATCCTCAAACCCATTTGCAAAGACCTCACCATCCTATTGTGAGATGGATACTTCCTGTGTTTCTCATCCTTAAAAAGCCCCCTAACCTGACATTAACTCTATTCAAACAATTGCTCATAAACAATCGTTAAATGAAACTTACCTTCCTTTAATCTGAGCAAAAGAGTGGGATCTAGCCCAAAGTTTTCTGGTAAGCTACCAGCTGTATCAGCATAAAAGGCTATTTGGCCTAGGTGTGATCGACTCTTCATTCGGGAGGAAAAAGTAGACTTTTGGTGCACTTTCATGGTGCGGTTCTGAAATTTCTCCTGCCCAAGTAGAAAAGTTTAAAAGAATTTCTAATATACCAAAATAATGTTGTCTTAAAATAGTGATTGCACATAAAAATGTAATTTGCAGTAAGTCCTTTTCTCCCTCATCAAATCATTGTAAATATTAAACAATCCCAAATTCTGATCTTTGAAGGAGTATTTGTAGTTTTCATTTCCTTCCTGTATGAAGCTGAGCAAAATATATATATATTTTTTTTAATTAACGCTTGTTAAGCAAGTCCATCCCATCTATGAGCCTATAAAATATTCTCCTAGTTTTCTTTTCACAATTTTGTCATGCCCAAGATGAAAATACACACCTGGGAATTCCACTGATTTCAAAGGACTGATTTTGTGGAGTTGAAAACTTGAAAGAAATGGACCTCCAAAGTAGGTCTGAAAAATCAGGCTTCCAATTTAGTTAATCTTTCAAAGTATAATTTTGGTTAAGTTCAATAAAACTCCACAACACACATGGAAAGCTGTCACTTTGCAGATGAATAAATTGTTAAGCATTTCTATACATTTTCCTAATTCTAATTAGGATGAAGAAAGTCCTTTAGTCAACCTTTACCTCAGGGAGTAAAGAAAGCAAACCTTACTAACTGTGACCAAGGCAGTATAAATTTTGACCATACATGTAGTGGGATAAACTCTGCAAGGCACAGGCAATAAGCCTCATTGATGATTTTGTTTCATATCAAATAATTCTAAAATGGCATTTCTGCCTCCTCCCCCTGCCCCTGTCCTCAAAATACAGATATACGTCCTCTTGTCCATATCTGCCTGGCAAGTTTTGACTTACTCTTTAAAAAAAATTATTGTGGTAAGTGTATATATTTAAAAAATTGCCACTTCAACATTTTTTACATTTATAATCCAGTGACATTAATTATGTCCATAAAATTGTGCAACCATCACCACTACTCATTCCAAATCTTTCCATTAGTTGTGACAGAAGCTCAGAGCACCCTAAGCAATGATTCTCTATTTCCCTTCCCTCCTGCTCCTGGGAACCACTAACAGACTTTGGTCTCTATCCATTTGCCTATTCTAGATATTTCATAGAGTGGAATCTTACAATATTTTCCTTTTGTGACTGACTTATTTCACTCAGCATAATGTGACTCTTGAAGACTCAGCTCCTGTTTTCTCCTCAATGAAGTCTTTATGCACACGTACATCACGGCCACCACCATCCTCTTCTCACAACAAAGAAGATCAAGAACTGATGGTAGTGAAGGAAGAAGTCCAAGCCACACTGAAGGAACTGGCAGAAAACAAAGTTCCAAGAATTGCTGGAATGCTCACTGAGAAGATGTAGCACTGAAGGCACTCACTCATCTATGCCAAGATATATGGCATATATATGGCCAACCTACTGAAAGAGATCTGTGTTTGTTCCCATTCAAAAGAAAATGTCATTTTTAGCAGAATGAGGAAATTATTGAAAAATGTCATTAATATTACACACAAGTAAAATTTTGCTAAAGATATTTTAAAAACAGTTGCAGCAGTGCATCAACACGACATGTTAGAAATTCAAGCCAGATTCAGAAGAGCATATAGAACAAGGGATATCACTGTCAGTGACAGATCTTGGTTGAAAGCAAAGAATACTAGAAAGATATTTACCTGTGTCATTAACTATGCAAAGGCATTCGACTTTATGGATCATAAAATATTGTGGATAACATTGAGAAGAATGGGAATTCCAGAACACTTAATCGTGCTCACGAGGAACCTGTAGTAGACCAAGAGGAAGTCGTTCAAACAGAACAAGGGGATACTGCTCAGTTTAAAATCAGGAAAGGTGTGTGCCACAGTTGTATCCTTTCACCATACTTATTCAATCTGTGTGCTGAGCAAATAATTTGAGAATCTGGACTATATGAAGAAGAATGCAGCATGAGGATCAGAGGAAGACTCATTAACAACCAGCAATACACAGATAACACAACTTCGCTTGCTGAAAGTTGAAGAGGACTTAAAACACTTACTGATAAAGATCAAAGACTACGATCTTCAGTGATCAAACATAAAGAAAACAAAAATCCTCATAACTGGACCAATAAGCCACATCACAATAAATGGAGAAAAGATTGAAATTGTGAAGGATTTAATTTTACTTGGATCTATAATCAATGCCCATGAAAACAGTAGTCAAAAAATCAGATGACGTATTGCCCTGGACAAATCAGCTGCAAAAGACCTCTTTAAACTGTTAAAGAACAAAAATGTCACTTTGAAGACTAAGGTGTACCTGACCCAAGCCATGGTATTTTCAATAGCCTCATATGCATGTGAGAGCTGGACAATGTATAAGGAAGACAGCAGAAGAACTGATGTATTTGAATTGTGGTGCTGGTGAAGAATACTGAAAGTAACATAGACTGCCAGAAGAAGGAACAAATCTGTCCTGGAAAAAGTGCAGCCAGAGTGCTCCTTAGAAGCAAGAATGGCCAGAGTTTCTCTCTCATACTCTGGTCATGTGGTCGGAAGGGACCAGTCCCTGGAGAAGGACATCATGCTTGATAACGTAGAAAGTCATTGGAAACGAGGAAGATCCTCAGTGAGATGGATTGACACAGTGGCTGCCATCATGGACTCAAGCACAGCAAAGACTGTGAGGATGGTGCAGGACTGGGCAGTGTTCTGTTCTGTTGTACACTATGAGTTTTGTTGGTCACTGTAAGTCGGAACCAACTTGACGGCACCTAACAACAACATGACCATAATGCATCAAATCTAAGATGCCATTTATTGTTAAATGCATAACTATTTTATACTCCCAACTATGTATAACATACCATCGATGTAAGCTGGATCCCAGTTTTGGAATTGTGAAAATATGAAAAATGTGGGCGTTAGAGTCTATGAAATAGGGCATATCTTATTGGTCATACCAGATTGTGATGGTGTGTGTGATCTCTTTAGTCCCTACCACCTGGGCTGGATGCTACTCTGCCATGTATGTTAATAGTATCTCCCCAGCACAGTGTGAGGCACACACCAAATACATCAATGTATGACTCTATGCCTTAAACCCAGTGAAGCTCACAACAGTGATATACAGACTGTGATTCTAATTAATTAGAATTGTAATTTTAACAAAACCGTACCTTTCTCTGCATTTCCATCTCATTTTCTTTGAAAAGAAAGAGATCTTTGAAAAATATCTTATATGGCTTGTCCTTTGTGACAGAATCATCTTTTAAATGATCTGTTTAAAAAAACAAAAGCAAAAAGTTAAACTTCTGTTAGCCTACTTGTGCTGATCAGGACATAGAAGCTCCCACCAACCAGGGTAGTGTAAAGGGGACAGTGGGCCTCTGAGAAGGTAGTAGGCAGGCAGCCTTGCCCCACTCCATCCCACTCCACCCTAACCCACCCCAACTGGAGATGAAGATGCAGGTCCTGGATCCCACAGCAACAGCCAAAACTTCTCTGTTCCCTGCAGCCCCCAGCATAGCACTTAGTGCTTTATAGTGAATGAATTGATATTTGTTCAATAAGTAAATAAAGAGGTCTTTGATAGAATAGTGGGATCACACTTTGAGATATTAAGATGTTGTTTCTTGCCACCACTACAAAGATACCCATCACTGCCTTGCAAGCAGGTCCAGGAGGCTGGGCCTGGGGATAGCAAGAAGATAAAAGAGCATCGTTAACAGGCTGAGGACAGTTGACCTGAGAGAGTCCTTGGACCTACTACCCCATGCCACCAATCCCAGGCCAGGCAGGACCCCAACATCCCAAGATAGGACCTCGACATCTTCTGATGGTTGGACACCTCTCCTAAACCAACATTCCTGCCCCTTCAAAATTCCTAGTAAATGAAACCCTATCTCACCCCAGGTGACTTAACATTTTCAGTGCCAATGTTTAAGTCTCCAAGTGACCAGGTTTAAATGTGTAAGTGATCTGGAATTAACAAGATGATATTTATCTCCATCCAAGCAGATTTAGGGGCTTCAAAACTATGTTCATTGCAGTTAGAGAGAAAGCGAAAAAGTGAAACTTCAGAATACCAAGTTTCCTGAATTATAAACTCACTGCAAGCATTAGCCACTAGCAAGCTCTTCTTCCGACCTCACAACTCCCAAAGCTTGCTGGACTCCACCATTAGCCAAAGCCTCTTGCCTTTCCAAAGGGTCTCAGTGTGCCAACTCATTCTACCACTAACTCAACCTCTCTTTAGCACTTCACTTTTGCAATATGGGGTCTTCTTAGTTCTGCAAGTCAAATTCTATCAGCAGAACCCTGGCTCAGAATGTTCCCTCTTTCCTTCCTGTCACACTCTTCTCTAAACTGCCTTGCAAATTCCTTCATTGATAATTAACCATTTAGGCGAAACCTTTCTCTTCACTGCCTCTTGCTCACTGTATTAGTTTCCAATTGGCGCTGTAACATATTACCACATGTTTAGTGACTTGAGACAACACAAATTTATTGTTTTCCAGTTCTGGAGGGCAGAAGTCTGAAATGAGTCTCAGGAGGCTAAAATCAAGATGTCAGCAGGACTGTGTTCCTTCTAGAGAGTCCAGTAGAGAATCCATTTCCCTGCTTTTTCCAGCGATTCTTTCTAGTGGCTACTTGCATTCCTGGGCTATTGGCTCCTTCCTCCATCTTCCAAACACATCACTCCAATCTCTGCTTCCATGGTCCCTTCCCCTTCTTGCCTTTCCCTTATAATGACCCTTGTGATTAGATTGGGCCTATCCAGATATTCCAGAATAATCTCCCTATCTCAAGATCCTTATTAAGTGCATCTGCAAAGTCTCTTTTGCCATGTAAAGTAACATAGTCACAGGTTCCAGGAATTAGAATGTGGACATCCTCAGGGGGTGGGGGATCATTCTAACTATAACACTCACAACATATCACTTCCTTCTCAGCCTTGCCTATTGTTGCCAATCTATTTGCCTGGTCCTAATTCTCTCCTTAGGAGCTCTGGTAGCATAGTGCCTAAGGCACTTGACTGCTAACCAGAAGGCTGGAGGTTCAATCCCACCAGCCACTCCTTGGAAGGAAGGTTGGGCAATCTACTTCCATAGTGATACCACCTCGGAAACCCAAGGAGGGGTCGCTATGAACCGGGTCCAACTCGATGGCACATAACAACAACAACAGTTCTCTCCTTACTTCCTTTCTTTTCTCCCTTCCTTCCTCCAACAAATTGAGCTTCTATTACTTACCAGGCATTATTCTAAGTGCTGATGATATGCTGGTAAACAAAATAAAGACCTCTGTTCTTGCAGATTTTATTTTGGGGTAGGGGTAGAGTCATGCCAAGGGATTGGTAATAGACAATAAAAAAATAAAGATAATAAAGTAACTTTTATCATATGTTAAAAAGTTATAAGATTCTGTGGAACACTAAAGCAGAATTCAAAAGTGGAACAGAACCTTCTCAGTGGGTAATTTATAAACTCTTTACACAGAGAGACTATGTGTTATGCTTATGGTGTAGCATTTTCCATTTCTTACTCTCCCAATCCACTATGGAACCTGAATGAGGCACCAAGCAAGAACTCATTGATGGGTTTGTTCTTTACCTTCAGAAGTTACTGATGGTGACACAAAATTTGATGTCATTTTGTCTCCTGGCCCTGTCCAAAGAAAAGGAAATACATTTTTTAAAATTCCACAAACACTGTATGTTGTCATTGTTAGTTGCTGACTCCATGTGTGCAGAGTACTATTGCTTCAAAGAGTTTTCATGGCTGTGACCTTTCATAGGAAGGTTGCCAGGTCTGTCTTCTGAAGCTCCTCTAGGGGAGGTTGAACTGCCAACCTCTTGGCTAGCAGTTAAGTGTAAACAATTTGTGCCACCCAAGGACTCCAAACACCATATAAAGAAGGAGCTATTCAGCTCCAAGTGACTCCCAAACAGCCTTTACTGATTTTAAAAGCAGTGCACACACAAACCATTTAACTGAGCAATTCCAACTCTAGAAACTTATCCCAAGAAAATAATCAGAGCAGTGGGCAAAAAGCTGTGTATAGTAATGTTTGCCACAGTGTTACTTAATAAACAGGGAGTTGGTTAAATAACTATTGTTGTTGTTGTTGGTTAAATAACTATGGTATACCCATATTATGGATTGCCATGTAGCCCCTTAAAATGATGCTGTAATCACTATTTATTTACCTCTGTCCACTATATCTTATTCAGTAAAATACAAAATATTCCAAGAGTTTGGATAGTGTGAATAAATATTCATGAAAAATCGGGGAGGTGTTTGAAAGATTGTTCCCCAAACATTTAATAGCGGTTATTTGGAAATCTGGAGCAATCTCTCCTTTCATTTTTTTCAGGTATGGGAGTAGGGTTAGGTGAGCGAAGCCACAAAATTTTAAGGGGGTACAAAAAAACTTAGTTATCAAGATCAATGCTAATGCACTATTTTTTTTTAATGAAAAAACATGTAATTATATAAAAGCTGACGGTATCTCACATCAATATGAACAACAGCTCTCATTACATGTTATATGCCATCAAGTCTATGCAGAGCCCCATTAAGAAAGGATGTAGAAGATCAGCCAGTTTTTTTGAAAAATCATCTTCTATATTACCTTGTTTTCTTGTCATATACTTTTTTCTCCTAAAAATAGCAGATAGGAGAAAGAAACTTTAGATTATTTGGACTTTCCAGCGATTGGTATCTTGGATTTTAATAGAGTTACTAAGACATCTGTTGTTAAATTAGTTTCTTTTCCTTAATGCAGTATTTTTTTCAAATAAAAATCACTGCATGAAAATCCTTGATGAACAAAACATCAAAATTTTAAATAAAAACAGAATCTGAGCCTGTACTTGCACAACCCTGAGAGTGGGTGCCTGTCTCGTTTCACCCCAATCCTGGTTCGCAGACCTTGCCTTTACTTAAATTTTTGATATTTTGTTCATCATGAATTATTTGAATTCATTTTTACTTTTTTAAATAATGAATTTAAAATATCATTTATCTTGATTATGAAGTTTTGAGCTCCCCTTGAATTTTGTACACCACTTACCTCATCCTAATCCTGGCATTGAATTTTTTTAATATGCTCTTTTGAATCATTCAAATTTCTCAATGAGCTTGTGTTACATTTATAATGAGAAATATAAGAAAGAAATTTTAATTTGAGGAAAAAGGAATACTCAGGGGTTTATATAAAAAGATGTGCACACAACAGGAACAATGAGACAAATCATCTATTTTGGGATGCCCTTTAAAATGTACGCCTTAGTCTAAGATCAAAGAGGGAGCTCTGGTGGCGTAGTGCCTAAGGCATTTGACTGCTAACCAGAAGGCTGGCAGTTCAAACCCACCAGCCACTCCTCGGAAGGAAGGCTGGGCAATTTACTTCCGTAATGATACTGCCTCGGAAATCCAAGGAGTGGTCTCTATGAATCGGATCCAACTCCATGGCAGTGAGTTAGTGAGTGAGTGAGTGAAGATTGAAGAACTAAGTGTCCCAGAGCAAAGCAACAAGTTGTTAAGACATAGACTTTGGAGTAGACAAGCCTGATTTTGAATCTTGGTTATGTACTTACAGATGTTCATGCAAGTTCATTCAGCATTCAAAAAATATCTGTTGAGTACCATGTCCCAGATACTGTTGTAGGTTCTGGGAAATGGGCAATTAAAACAAACAAAAAAGACACCAGCTCCTCACAAAAAGAATGAAAGTCTTTGTCTTCATGGAGCTTACATTTAAATTACTTAAACTCTCTGAGCTTCAGCTCTGTATTCATAAACTGGGAATAATAGTTTTACCTCACAAGGCTTTTTGGAGGACTCAATGAGGCAATGTACATACACAACCTAGCAGAGTGCCTAGCATACAGTAAACAGTAAGTGAGAGCTATTGGGACTAATATTTACTAATTATGTGACTTTTACTTCTAGTGATTATAAAAACAAAAGTGCAAAAGATAAAAGAAAATATATTCAAGCTTTAAAAAGAAGAAAATATTAACAAAAACCCAACAGCATTGATATTGTACTTTTTCAGACTACTATAGATTTCCACCGTCTTTGGGTTCATTTTGATAGGTGGAACAGAGGGTTGATGATAAATGATGACTATTTTGATCAGTATTTGGATTTTAGATGCTTGATACTAACCTAGGAGATTCTCTTAATCTGATACTCTGCACCCATCCCCACACCTAAGGTTCTGCTCACCTCTTTCTTTTCACACCTTTGCATCCTTCAATCCTTCTATTTACCTAAAATTACTACATTCCCTACCCTCACTCCAGTTCCTTTTATCCCAAAAGTCTATCTTCAATGACAAGTTTTTTTGTTTTTGTTTTTGTTTTGGTGCTTTGGGTGAAAGTTTACGGAGCAAATTCACTTTCCATACAGCAGTTCCATACTTTATCTCATGACATTGACTACAATTTACCCCAATGCAACAGCTCCCCTCCCCCTTCCTCCCAATAGTTACCTCTTCCCTGTGTCCATCCCTCCATGCACTCCTGCCCCCCGAGCTGTCTCCCTGTGCATAAACAGCCCTTCTGTCTCCCATGATT